TATTAAAGATGTTACTCGATTGCATTAATCGAGTTAATTAATTCGCATTTCGCGACAATAGTAGCTCATCATTGTCCCAGTCCAAAGACTCAAGTTTGCGGCAGTGGTTGTACAAACTTGGACAGCACAGTCAATATTAAATATTTTGGGTGTCATAATCGATCAACATCTCAATTTTAAACAGCATGTTGTAGCGCTTACTGCTAGAGTTCGAAAATTAATATATGTTTTTAAAAATTTAAGACATGCGGCTAGCGGTGAATTACTCAAATCAGTATACTTGGCCCTCTGCCAATCATTGCTACTTTACTGCATTACTTCATGAGGCGCCGCACATAAAACAATTCTGTTAAACCTAGAAAAGGCGCAGAGAGCTATTCTTAAAGTCAGCAACTTCCGTCCTTTCTGCTACCCTACCCACAAACTCCTAGCTGAGTGCGATGTCCTTTCTGTGCGGCAGCTGTTTATCTTACAAATAATTTTGAAAAAACACTCAATCACTCCATTTGAGTCTAAGTCCTCATCCTACCAAAGACGGCTCAATACCTTCTCTTCTCGTGAACAACTTCGCACATCACACTCTCATAGATTCTTCTGCTTCCTTGGTACATTCCTTTACTTACTTAAATTCAAACATTGCATTTTCACGCCTTGAATAAGATGGGATGTAAAAAGACCGTCAAACGCTGGCTTTAAAATAAAAACTATGATGAAACAGAAGGTTTACTAGAAGTTATTTCATAATTATATTGTAAAAGCGAATTGTTTTATTCTTAATTAAATATAGCTATTTTGTTCACACTAATATCATGAATCTGTGGATAAACAAGATGCTTAAGATACAGGTAATAATGTACTTAGTTTAGGCATCGCAACTATACTGGTAGGCTTCTAATAATTAATTGTATAGCTTTATGATTAGTATAATAATTAAGGTTTATTTTTTTTTACCAATTGTATATTAGCTTCCCTTACATTTGTTATTGTTTTTTTACTTATATTTAGGTTATGTTGAAATAAATTTATCTTTATCTTTATGTATTTAAGAAATAAAGGGTATTCATTTATATTTTATTTTAAATATAGTGTGACACAGAATTTAAATTTACTAAAAATAAAACAAATAATAAAAGTGACTAAACAAAACTACTCTCAAAAATTAGATTGTCGTGTTTGGCTAACATCAGGGTCGCCTCTTATAGCGCATAACGCTCTATGCGTTCTGTCACCGCAATAAGTTCCCTGTGGACAATTACTACAAGTAGCTCCAGCTTCGTATATTGGAAAACCGTCTATATTCCCTGCAGGTCCGTAATTACAAAATGTATAAGCTATGATCTTTAACTCAGATTGTTTTGAATCTTTATCAATGATGTCCATCATTCCGCGATGTAAAGGCGAGTCCTTAGATTTAGGTTTTATGGTAGTAGCGTAGTCTTCAAATCTTTGAGTTTTTGATGAGGTAGCGAGTCCAGTACGACGCAAAATACTTTTATGATTGGTTGTTACTACAGCTGTCTCATTAACTAAGTGAACAGAAGGAGGGTCTTTTGCTGAACGTCGCCTTTTTTTGCGAAAATGAACACAAGAGCGTTTGTTAGCGGTGCACAGCGACTGGGAACAGCCTATACGCCAGGTGGAAGCCCAAGCGGCAGCAGAGTACCAGTGTGAGTTACAACCGCTGGTGGCGCTACAGTTGCCAAGTCTAAATGACCACACGTGTTCTGGGGGCAGCACCCTCGATCCTGAGAACCATGCACCTACCGCATCTGCAAGTAACTGAGCCTCTGTGACTCTGGCTACTACTGGTCTAACATCCATGTTCTGTAGAACATTAAATCTAATTGTGTTTCTACATTCATCATGTCGCTTTTGGCATTGACGTGCCCATACCTCGGCCATGTTTTCTAACTCATAATCCCAGTACATCTTTCGCATGTTGGTTGCAGGCGGCTGTCCTGCTTCGAGCCCCATAGCGATGTTATCGCGGTGACGATTGTGCAGTAACATTATTTGATACCGCATCCAAGTGGTCATTCCTGACGCGAACAGTCTCGGGCTCTGCTTATTAGCCGCTGTACACATGGTGTGCTGGTTTTTCAGCGAACAGTCTGGGTGCGTGCAATAACCATACGCGTCTATGGTGTCGTTCTTGCCGTCATGACTGGTAGCAGTTGTGTAATTGCTGTTTATGTTGTCATTACTAAATACTAAACTTACAAGAAAACTACTCAAAATTAAGTAAACGGTAAGCATTGTTTATACAAAGATATTCAGAAAAACTTCTGTTATTTTCAAAAATGTAGACAGATATGAACCCAAAGACAACGATGAACCAATTGTAGATCTTTTTACATGCTTATCTATGTGCATAACTTAGAATGAAAAAAAAAAGGAAGTGCATACTTTTATTTTTTTCCATCCTCTGAGATACTTACGCCCCGTAGATGGAGATTAAAAAAAAAGAATAGAGAAGCTTCTCGCGTTTACTGAAAAGGGATACCAACAGAGTACCTATAAATTCTGGGTTTTCTACTTTTAAAATTTTACCCGTTAAAGAAAATGAAATGAAAATGAAGCCGTGGTAGCCTTAATGGTTTGACCTACTGCCTCTCAAGCAGATGGTCGTGGGTTCGAATCCAGACTCGCACCTCTGAGTTTCTCGGAATTTGTACGAAATTTAATTTGTTTATCATGAGCTTTTCGGTGAAGGAAAAAATTGTGATGAAACGTTGAAGAAGGTTCAAAGTCCTCGGAAAACGTGTGCAGTCCCCAACCATCATTGGGCCAGTGTGGTAGATTGTCGCCTAAGAACTCGCCTAAGAGGAGACCCGTGCCCAGCAGTGGGACATGTAAATTGGTTCATGATAATGATGAAATCTGCCGAGTATAAGGAGCGAGAATCCGCCAGACCACATTTAGCTTGGTTGAGTTTTAGTAACCAAATAAAATAATTATGATAAATAGGAAATGAAACTATTTTTCCGGATTTAAATCGCGTATATTAGGGGTTAAAGTATGAAATTGCCGTTTTATTGCAATGGGTTCTTTGAATTTTCATAGAATCTTCATGGTTTGAGGTTTTCGAATGAAACTTTTTTCAAATGGTTTCTGTGATTTTTTTTTTTTTTAAATTTGAAACGTTTGAATATCGACTTTCAATTGTTTTTGTTATTAAATTTAGACAAGAAAGATGGATACTGCGAAAATTCGAGTGATTTTTTAATACGAGTTCCGACGCGGAACTAACGCGGCAGAAACAGCCCGCAATATCAATGCTGCGTTTGGAGAGGGGTCTACTAATGAACGCACCGTGCGATTTTGGTTTAAACGCTTTCGTGATGGAAATTTCGACTTAAAGAACGAGCCACGAGGAAGACCGCCCACACAGGTGAATAACGATGAATTAAGAGAGATAGTGGAAGCCGATCCTAGTCAAACTACCCAGGAATTAGCGGCATGGTTTAACGTTACCTTACCCACAATATTGACTCACTTGCGTCAAATCAATAAAATAAAAAAATACGAAAAATGGGTGCCTCATGATTTGACTGATCTGCAGAAAGAAACGCGTGTTGAAACTTGTGTTGCCTTGTTGAACCGGTACAGAAATGAAGGAATATTGAATCGAATTGTAACATGTGATGAAAAGTGGATTCTTTATGATAACCGGAAAAGAAAAATGCAATGGCTGACCCCAGGTCAAATGCCACAACAGTGTCCTAAAGCAAAACTTACCAATAAAAAGGTAATGGTAACTGTTTGGTGGTCTCAGCATGGTGTTATTCACTATAGTTTTCTCCGATCTGGTCAAGCAATAACGGCAGATGTCTATTGTGCCGAACTCTTAACCATGTTGACAAAACTAGCAGTAAAACAGCCCCGACTCATGAATCGATCTTCACCATTATTGCTCCACGACAACGCGAGACCTCACACAGCACGAGAAACCATTTTGACCCTTCAGGAACTGCAGTTAGAAACCATTCGTCAGCCTTCGTATTCACCAGACCTTGCTCCAACGGACTACCATTTTTTTCGTGATTTGGACAATTATCTACGTGACAAGAAGTTTTCTTCCCAGGAGGCAGTACAAAATGCTTTCACACAGTTTTTGCAGTCTAGATCGTCGGAGTTCTATCGCAAAGGCATTAATAACCTTCCCATTAGATGGCAGCAATGTATAGATAATAATGGCAACTATTTTGATTAAATAAATTTGTTAAAAATTTAAAAAATAAACAATTTAGATTTTCAGTACAAATCGGCAATTTCATACTTTAACCCCTATTATTTGTTTTTTCAAACAAACCGACGTTTCGAGCCCATTACAGGTCCCATGGTCACGGTTTAAATCCGGAAAAATACTTTCATTTCCTATGTGTAACAATCGCGAAAACCTAAGAACTCGTTAATTATGATAAATCATTACTTTTTATTGGCCCTTGAATAGTATATTAACTTAGTATACATATTTCGAACTGAAAAAGTATTCAAAACTAAAAAAATACAATATTTAAAATGACCCATAAATTGGGATAAAGATAGTGGCAAAACCACGGTATCCCTAAAATCAGCTTAAGCCTGTCTAATTTAATTTATACGTTATTTATTTGATCTTTCTTTCTCGCGTATCGTAACCACTGCTGGTAGAAGCGAGATGGACATATTTGACAAAAGTAAGATATTCTCCTTATTTTAGGAGGTTTATAGGATGCAAACAAAAATCTTTCAATCAAGAAAAACACTTCAAATATCATCTAAAATACATGAAATCGTAATATTCCAGCCTTGTAAGAGTATTTCACTAGTATTGTAATGAGAAATTAAAACTTATGTGTGAAAGGTTATGTTGGGAATTTACGTACGGCTTTTACAGCCTAAAATATAACAATGCACCATTATTGTGAGCTGCAATAATTGTCAATTACTACAAAGGAACGGTTAGTAACTTTGTAAAACACTTCTTAAAGGCACAAACACATAAAATCGATGCACATCAAACACTCGGAAGGATGTACTGGACTCAACGAGCGTTGAGTCATACAACCAAAACCGCATACGTAGAAAGGGACAAAAAATAATATTGTTTTCTCGTTTACTCTGATATGTCTGTGCATAAATCTATCTCGCTTACACGGTTTTTATTATTTATAGAGCCCCTCTTTACGCCCGCAATACTTAGAGGATTAATGGTACTCTTATCTATGATAGGTACTATACATAACATACATACATACAACATATATACTATAGATAACTGCCTCCGTGGCCAAACGGTTACCATGCCGGACTGCCACACAGAGGTCCCAGGTTCGATTCCCGGGCCGGGAGAAATAGTAGTATGGCCTACAATTATTTCTCTCGTGAGTTTGGGTGTAATTTGTGGTTGTCTATGTGTGTGTCCATGGCACCCGCGATACAGGGTTTTCCTAGTGCGGGGCTATGTTGAGTGTGTGCGTTATTTAAAAAAAAAATAAAGAAAAATAAAAAATAAAAAAAAAATAAAAAAATACAGCTCTAAAAAAGACGCGTGCCATTATAGAGCAAGATGCTTATTATCACTTTTCAATGGTATTATTTACTATATTGCTGTACGCCTACTGCTAACCAATTTGACTCGACTGTTCAGAGTTGTAGCCTAGTACTGAAATTTCAGCGCGTAATTTCAGGACCCCCAGTTTTTTTTGACCCGAAATGCTAAACAGGATTGTACTTTACTGTACGCCAGTAAACTTTGATGGACAGATATTGGAAGGCAAACATGTTATTGTTGAAAGCGTTGGAAGGCACCAAAACATGGTTAAATTTCTATACAAGTGCCCCACTTCGGTCGATGGCAAGAAGTTTTACTATACATTCAAGAGCACATCTAGACGTATGATTCTGTATATGCTTAAATAATAAATATGAATAGGTATTGTTAAACGGTTTATTTAAAAAAAAAATTATACCTATAATTTACTGTGCAAATAATTCCATCCTCTAAGGTAAATAATGGGTCAAGTCAATGTGAAGACACTTTCTGCGATTTATTATTTTGGGAAGATTCCTAATATTCACTCTGGTTTCCTCAATGGGTTGCCCCTCTGATTTCTCTCATCTATGCTCTAAACATATTTGATCAATGTCAAAATGATTATAAAACAAACATTGTTCAATGCCGTGCAAGTTGTTGGTAGGTCAATGAGTTTAAGCAATGACTTCAATCTAGTACATAAATATCATTGAGTGCAGGTCAATTTAAACTCAAGAAATCTTATGACCGTTGGCGTTGGTACCTACTCAAAGGTAAACAGAAGAGATTAATCGATAATGCTAAAATTTACGACGCAAACAACTCTATTGTGAGTACGTCCAACAAAACCTGCAGCAAAATTACGTTTTCCTGGCTTTTCTGCATAATTGTCTCTAAGTACAATATATTTCAATATTTAAGGTTCCGTGCATTAAGTAAAGTAAGCATGGCCCTTAAGATGGTGCAAATGATACTTCGCAGTATCATTCTTCTATCATTATTAATATCTTTCCTACTTCATTCAGAAGGCGATGGCCTATCGCATTTCATTGGCAGTGGAATATTAGGGAGCTGCTGTGTGGTTACACTGGGACTTCTTGTAGAAGCTGTACTACACAAAAAATCGGATAAATTTGTGGAAGTTACGTTGCTACTAACTGCCGTTTTATTATTATCAATAACCTCAATACTGTTGTTCTCAGAATTTTTACATTCCCCACATGAGACAAGGCAAATGACTAAACGCGTACTAACAACATTGTGCACGGCATTGTACGTAATTGACCTGATACTTTTACATGTTTGAAATTATTTTCATATAGGTTCTTCTAAAAGAAATATTATAGATTATTTTTCAATAAATATAAATTTCAATTTATTTATCTAGTCACTGGCCTACAGTCTTGTTTTGTGCTATCATTGTGATATTTGGATTAATCCGTTCTCACAATAGCAAACAATTTAAGGAAATAAATAATTTTAAATTCACTAATAACAATTTTTATTTCTCATACAAATGTTGATTAATCGTGTTCTTTTTGTATGGGATACTTACAGTGGTAATAAGATTTTGAAAAATAAATTAAAGTTGTCTAACGTTGTCTTAAGTCTGTAATACCGACATCTCAAAAAGGATATACAGATGTGCCGTACATGAAAAAACCTTTAGGTTTGTTTATTAACTGCTAAGTAGTCAGAACCACACGATTTGAAATCTTTTTCTTTTTTTTTTAAGTTT